TTGTAAATGCATACTGAAAACTCAAGGGCAAGTATTAAAAAAGTTTTTAAAAATATGAATAATTGATATGAGCGGAGAAGAAAAACAATCAGGGAAAATGCTCAATTAAAGCCAGAGAATGCAAACATAAGGTTGAAGACATAAAGAAAAGGACAAGGGTAACAAATAGAAAATGGACAAGTAGTGGTAGACATTAATCCAACTGTATCAACCACCACTTTAACCATCATAGTCTAATTACAACGGAAAGACAAATACAGTACTGTAATATCAGATCTTAAAAATCACTCTTAATTATATGTTGTCCACAAGAAACGCACTTTAAATATGAAGACACAGGAGAACAGTCCAAGATGGTGGAGACGCTGTGCTTGCATCATCCCGTGAACACATCAAAATTACAACTAAATTATAGAACAATCAACCTGGAGAACCATCTGAAATCTAGCTAAACAGAAGTTTTATAACTGAAGATATAAAGAAGCTGCACTGGTAGGAGGGGCCCAAACATCCGTGTGGCAGATGAAAATTAGGAGGGATATCTCGGCCATGGAGGTTGCCCAGAGAGGAACAAGGGACCCCAGCCTCACATCAAGCTCCCCATCCAGGAGTACTGGTGCTTGGAAAAGAGCCCCAAAATCTGGCTGTGAAAAACAGTGGGGATTCCCACCATCCCAGACAGAAGGCAGCAGGAAACCCAGACATCCTCTTAAAGGGCCCGCACACAGAATCACTCGCCCGTAGGCACTCACCCGGGGCTCCGGGAGAGATGACGACTTGGGGGGCATCAGAGGCATGCGGGAGGCAGACTGAGGTGTGGCCTCAGTGCGCAGCCTGAAGGACAGTCGACAATTTTCCTGTGCGGGGCCCTGCTCCCATGCAGCCAGCAGGCGACCGTGATCTTTCCTGAGTTGAGCCCTCCCTCTACGCTTATGGCCAAGTCTGAATCTGATTGGCTTGGTGAGCGCCGAAGCTCCACCCTGCTGCTGACTCACTGAGACCCTGCCCCACCCAACTCTATACTGCAGGAGGATTTGTCTGCCGCTAAGTCTTACTGGAGCCGAGCAGGTATCCAGAAGCAGGCAGCAAAAGGCAGCAGCAGGACTCGGTGTGTCCTGGCTTTTTGCAGAGCTACCTCAGGCCTAGTACTGGTGGCAGCCAAAATTAGTTCGCAGTGTGGCCTCGCTAACACGCCACCAGGTCCAGCACAGGCAGAGACCAATCATGGATCACTTTGTATCTCTTATCAGGTAGTCCTCCACCAGTCACATGCAGTTGCTGACCTGGGCGTGCACTGGAGCCCCTAACAAGAGGCCCTAGAACCAACATACTTGGAGGTTGGTTTCAGACCACAGCAGAGCACTATCCAGTTAGCCCCCCAAGTGGCACACACAAAGGGTGTGGCACCAGAGCCTGCTGGGGTGAATACCGCTCCATATGGTAAGCCCCTCAGCACAGCAGCCCAAAAGCTGCGGACATGGCCAAAGCCCACAGCCAGCAAGCCTGAAAATCAATCCAATCTACTGACATGCCAATAACAATCAAAGCTCAAATATAACAGGAGGGTACACCCAACCCATACAAAGGACACTCTTGGAGCACCCATCTCAGGTGACCATGAAGAATGTGCCAGGGCACCACAAGGCACCTACTATATAAGGCCACCCAGCAAGAGACTTAGCAGATCTATCTAATACACAGAAATAAACAGAGATGCGACCAAAATGAAGAAACAAAGAAATACGTCCCAAATGAAATAACAGGAGAAAACTCCAGAAAAAGAGCTAAACAAAATGGAGGCAGGCAACTTACCAGAGGTAAGAGTTCACTGGTTATAAAGAACTTAATGACAACTTCAACAAAAAGAGAGAAGGCATTAAAAAAAAAA